GTGTCGTTTTCACACACACACACACACACACACACACACACACACACACACACACACATATATATATATATATTCTGTTTGTATAAAAATACAGTAAAAGCAGTAATATTATTAAATATTATTATTTAAATAAATTTTAATATGCAATTTATTGCTGTGATCAAAGATGAATTTTCAGCATCATTACTCCAGTCTTCAGTGTCACATGATCCTTCAGAAATCATTCTAATATGCTGATTTGGTGCTCAGTTATCAATTATTATTGGTGATCAATTATTAATAATGGTTCTTATTGTTAGCAATGTTGAAAACAGTTGCTTAATATTTTTATGGAAACTCTTGATATATTTTTTTCAGGATTGTTTGATGAATAGAAAGTTCAGCCAAATATTGAAATATTCTGTAACATTATAATATATAATGTTATATATATGTATGTCTTTACTGTTACTTTCAATCAATTAAATGCATCCTTGCTAAATAAAAATATTAATTTCATTTTTCTTTTCTTTCTTTTTTTTTTTTTCAAATCTTACTCCAAACTTTTGATGGTACGCTTTTCATAAAAATATGAAGCAGCACAACTGTTTTCAACATTGATAATAATCAAAAATGTAATAATAATATTTCTGATAATAATCAGAAGTAGAAAACCGTTATTTTACATGGTAATAATATTTCACAATATTACTGTTTTTACTGTATTTTTGATCAAATAAATGCAGCTTTGGTGAACATTAAGAGACTTCTTTCAAAAACATTCAAATCTTACAGACAATGGTCTTAATAATGAAGAATATTCCACAAATGCTAAAAATATTGCATATATATATATATTAGTTTCAAGTCTGAGTAAGGCTGTCCCAATAAGTTAGGGGTGGTTTCTTTGCAGATGTCCTCGGGACACTTCATCATCGTTGGCGTGTGGAGTGTGAAGTCATATAAAACACAAGGCCGCTGATCATGAGTCAGCTGGAGAGGAGCGTCAGAGCGGGACAGTGAGTGTGTGAGAGAGGTGATGTCCCGCTGCAGTCTGAGGGCCCGTCTGGCTCAGAGTCTGTCCAGACAGGTCAGAGACTCTCACACAGGACGGGTACCTGCCGTCAGAAGCGACAGCTCTGCCCTACAGCCCTTCAGTGAGATTCCTGGACAATGGAAGAACAGCATGGCCAATCTCTACACGTTCTGGAAAATTGATGGCCTCAGGAATATCCACCGGATTATGCTGCACAATTTCAAAATGTATGGTCCTATTTACAGGTAAAAAGATATTCATTAAGACTTATGATAGTCTGTGCCATATACACAACAAGGTTATTATGCTGCGTTTTCAACATATTTTTAGTTCAGCACTCAGATTCAGACAAAACTAAATATCCAAAGACATGCTTGCAGAAAGACGTTAGCAGTATTTTTTCCCTACTATCCAAATACAATATTATTACAATACAATAATATTACATAATTATACAATAATATATACAGTAGCATTATATCATTATTTTAACTGTGTGTGTGTGTGTGTGTGTGTGTGTGTGTGTGATTTCCAGGCCTAAAAATGTATAGAAATTAATTAATAGAAGTAAAAAAAAAAGTAAATACTCATGCACATTTCTTCTGTGAAAAATGTCATTTGAGATGTTTTTATTTATTATTAAAAAACAGGAGTGAGGATCTAAAGTCCATGTTTTTGTTTTATTTTGTTCCTTTTCTTTTCTACCTAAATATTTTGACCACCACACAAACATTGAAAAAATACTTTTAATTTAGAAAAAAAGACTTTTAATTTAGAATTAAATTAAATAGTATATAAAAATTGTGAATTAATATATTAATGTATTTTATTGTATATTTCTATATAATTATTTTTATTTATATTTACATTTAATTTTCTATATACGTAATAATAATAGTAATAATAATAATAATATAAAAAGTGTGAGGCCACTGACCCTTATACAAAAAAAACAAAAAACATATATAATGGTTGTAGTGTACCAGTACAATCATTCTGGACAGGGAAAAAGTTGGGTACTATGAGAGTGTGAACATCATCAAGCCTGAAGACGCTGCTGTCCTGTTCAAAGCTGAGGGTCATTATCCCAAGAGACTCAGGGTGGAAGCGTGGACCTCTTACAGGGACTACAGGAACCGCAAATATGGCGTCCTGCTCAAGTAGGCACCGTCTATCCATATCTGCTATAAGCACAGACCGAGATGCAGCTCTTCCTTATTCACGTATGTGGATTTCTAAAGGGAGGAACATCATATCCTCTTAACTGTCAAAATAACGTTGGCGGATTTTCTTCATTATTTGTCGTTTTGTCATCTTTATAGATGCTGGAGAACTTCAGGTTTGAGAAGCAGAGGCAGGTGGAGGTCAGGAGCACGTTTGAGCTCATCTTGCTGCCTGAGAAGCCCATCATGCTCACCATCAAACCGCTGAACGCCAGCAGATAGCGGAGCTGCAAACAGGAAATGATGTCAAAGACAGAACTGGATGGAACACTGAGCTTTGAAGACGGGAAAAATTCAACTCTGACATGAAATGCCTGTGAAAAGTTTGGACTCAGTTTATGTTTCTTGCGGTCTTAGATAGTTCACACAAAAATGAAAATTCTGTCATCATTTACTCACCCTCGTGTTGTTTCAAACCTGTATGAGTTTTTTCTTCTTCTGTGGAACACAGAAGATATTTTAAAGAATGCTAGGAACACCGAGTCATTTTTGAAAGTATCTTCTTTTGTGTTCCACAGAAGAAAGAAAAGTTTTGGAATGACATGAAGGTGAGTAAATGATGAAAAAGATCAAATATTTTGTGAAAAAAAAAAATTAATAAATAAAAATAAAAATTTCTTGGTATTCTTACATTTCTGTTATTCTAAAATAGCATTCATAAAAATGAGTAAAGCAAGTGAGCCCAAACTTTTGACTGCTACAGGATGTCTTGTTATATTTATTTCAGAAAAGCAAATAAAAAAATAATAATTTATGTATTCTAAAGTATTTATATATATATATATATATATATTATAAAATGACTTGAAAATATTCTGTAATGTTTTTAATTAATAAAATTTAAGAAAATTACATTACTATAAATTAGGGCTGTGAATCTTTGGGTAGACAGCGAATCAATTCGATTCACGATTCATAGGTTTTCGATTCGATTCAAGAACGATTTTTGCAAATTCAGAACGATTCACACAGTTAAATTCGATTCGATTCGATTCTGCATTCTTTTTCACATTTTGTCACACCAAGGGTGTAGCCATCATTTCAGAAATGACAGAAATGTCAAATACAATAATTTTATGCATGTATGTATTATTTAATTTTTTTTCTTATCTCTTACTTTAAATTTACCTTAAGAAATCAAATACACTGCTGGACAATAATCAATCATTTGTAATCAATAATCTTTTCCTAATGGCAATTTTATGATTGTTTCATATACTACAAACAATTATTTCAATTTTCTGCACAAAATAAGGTAGAAAATATACTTTATAGTTTCTATTCTATAGTTTTCAATTAGCACTGCATCATTCATAAATTGTATTTATTTATTGTGTTTATTGTCTTAATGTTTCATCAGTTCATTCTGCTTTTTATTCAGCTTAGCTGCAGATAAAGCCTGGCACGTCTTAAGTTCTTTGAGCACGAGATATCACTTCTCTTTCAGTGCGAAAACTTCTTTATCTCATTTTCATAAAATAAAATGCTATAGTATTTAACTTTTCCTCTCCATCGGCGAATGATGATTCTAAAAGAAAAGGCACCCGATGTCTGTTTGCTATAGCAACGAAC